ATCACAACCAGGTAGACTTTATTCAAGGGGTGCAAGAGTGTTTCAACATACTCAAAACCTTAAATGTAATACATCATATTAACACAAAGAAAGCTAAAAACCATATGATCATTTCAATCAGTGCAGAAAAAGCATTTGACAAAATACATTCCTTCATGATTAAGACTCTCAGTAAAATTGGCATGGGAGGCTCATTTCCCAGTATAATAAAAGCCATCTATGAAAAACCTATAGCTAACATTATACTGAATGGGAAAAAGCTGGAAGATTTTCCACTAAAAACTGGTACAACATAAGACTGCCCACTCTCTCCACTTGTCCCGACCCAGGAGGACAGTCGAACAGGTTTCCTGAGGGAAGGAGTGAGAGATGGGATGAATGATGCAGTGTTACAACATGGAGACGATGCAGTGTTACAACTCTTCAGGGTCGTCCATTTATTGTGGGCAGCACAGAGATGACACAGTATTACAACTCTTCAGGGTCGTCCAGAGATGACACAGTGTCACAGCTCTTCAGGGTCTTCAGGGTCATCTGGAGATGATGCGGTGTTACAACTCTTCAGGGTCTTCAGGGTCATCCAGAGATTGTGGGCCAGGGGTCATGGTTATATACATGGTGGGGGACAGTGATTGGTTAAATGAAGGTTTGTAAAAGGTGGGTTATGATTGGTTGCTTTTGTGGACCAATCATGAGGTGCCAGATATGCAAATCTGAAGGATTCTAAACTCACTGATTTGCCATGGGAAGTGGCCAATCAGAGCCTGGTTCTGAAGGTGAGGCTTTGAAGGGGAACCAATTGTGGCCTTTATGGGAAGTGACCAATCAGAGTATGGTCTTGAAGGTGAGGCTTTGAAGGGGAGCCAATCATGGCCTTTGGCATTGTGTAATGGTTTGCTCTCTGAGAAACCAGTGATATTCGCTGGTGCGCAGCCTCCCACATCCACTCCTATTCAATATAGCACTGGAAGTCCTAGCCAATGTGGTCAGACAAGAGAATGAAATAAAAGGCATTACAATAGGGAAAAGAGTTGAAATTCTCTAGGTTTGCAGATGACATGTTTGTATACATAGAAGACCCAGTAGTATCTGTGAAAGAAACTTCTTGAAATAATAAATGCACACAGTAAATTGCAGGATACAAAATTAACTTACAAAAATCTATAGCATTTCTATATACAAACAACAAGCAGACAGAGACAGAACTGAAGAAAGTAATCCCATTTACCGTAGCCACAAAAGAATAAAATACATAGAAATAAAACTAACAAATGAAGTCAAAGACCTCTATGAGGAAAACTATGAAAATCTTAAAAAGGTCATTTTAAATGACACAAAAAAAGTGGAAGGACATCCCATGTTCCTGGATTGGGAAAACTAATACAATCATAATGAGAATCCTACCTAAATTAATCTCCATTTTTAATGCAATGCCAATAAAATTATTAGAGACATGCTTCAAAAATCTAGAAAACACAATCATAGAATTTTTTTGAACCATGAGAGACCTCATATTGCCAAAGATATCATAAACAAAAAGAATGGAGTGGGTGGCATCTCACTCCCTGACCCCAAAATATATTACAAAGCTGTGATAGTCAAAGAAGCTGGATATTGGAACAAAAAGAAATACGAGGACCAATGGAGCAGAGTAGAGCCCCAGAAATAAATGCCAAAACATACAATAAACTGATCTTTGACAAGGGGTACCAGTCAATTCACAGGGAAAAGGAAAACCTCTTTAGCAAATGGTGTTGGAAAGACCGGGTATCCACCTGCAAAAAGATGAATCTGAACCCCTGTCACCATTAACAAAAATCAACTCAAAGTGGATCAATGATCCAAATCTAAGACTGCAAACTATAAAACTTCTGGTGGAACACATGGGAAAATCTGGGAGACAGTGGGGTAGACAAAGACTTCTTAAGCAAGACTCCCCCAAAGCACAGACAATAATCCTCAAAATTGACAGGTGGGATTACATCAGATTAAAGTTTCTGCACAGCAAAAGACACTGTAATTAGTGTGAACTGACAACTCTCATAATTGTAGAAAATTTTTGTAAACTATAGCTCAGAGAAGGTACCAATAACCAAAATACACAGGGAACTCACACGGCTTACATGGGAGAAAATGATTAACCCAATTAAAAGATGAGAAAATGAGCTGAGGGAACCAGCAATTAGTGTAATGGCTATGTCGCTGGACTCCACATAGTCGACCGCGGTTCATGTCCCAGACCCAGTGGCTTAAAACTCATGCTGGGCGCGTGTGCGTGCGTGCCCAAGATCCTGAGAGGAGAATGGAGGAGAAGGGATTGCGGCATGACCATCCCCCCTGGGGGGTGATTTTTCGCTTTCTATCTCTCTGTCTCTGTCTGTCTGGCGAGCGCATGCGCCCTATAGCAA